GCTTTTTGAGAATATCATCCCACATTCTTCTGGCCTGCAAGATTTCTGCTGAGAAACCCACTGATAGTCTAATGGGGGTTCTTATACACGACAGGTTACCTTTTTCTTGTGTTCTCAAAATTCTCACTGCTTTTACTTTTGACAGTTTGATTGTAATTTTTCTCCTTGTGTATTTCTTTGAGCTCCTCTTTGGGTTTCTTTGGGCTTCTTGGATCTGTATGTGCATTTCCTTCCTCAGATTTGGGAATTTTTCAGACATTGTTTTCTTGAATAAACTTTCAGGTAATTTTTCTTTCTTTTCTCCTGCTGTGCATATATTGGTCTGTTTTTATTGTCCCATAAGTTCCTGAAGCTTTCTGCATTCTTTTTCATTTTTTTTCTTATTGGTCTTGTGATTGAATGATTTCCAGTGACCTTTATTAGAATTTGCTAATACTTTCTTCTGCTTGACTTAGTTTTATGTTGAGCCTCTCTCATGAATTTTTATTTCAGTTATTTTCTTCAGCTTCATACTTCTGTTTGATACTTTTGTATATTTTCTGTCGCTAGTTGCAATCCTCAGTTGGCTCATTTGTTGTTGATCCAGTCTCAGTGAGCACCTTTATGATGGTTATTTTGAATTATTTTTCTGGTAAATCATAGAGCTGTGTTTCATTAGGGTCTCTGTCTGGAGATTTATCTTCTTTCCTTTGTTTGGAACACATTAACTTGTTTCTTCATCTTCCTTGACTCTGTGTTGGTGTGTGTGCATTAGACAAAACAGTCACCTCTCCCAGTCTTCGTGGAATGGTCTCCTATGTTCAAAGACTGCCGTCCCCCCAGTCCACCCTGGCCAGAGATTCTGGTGGCCTCTCAAATCTTCATGCTGGTCCAACATGCTTCTTTTGTTTTCTGTGCTTCCCAAGTGTCTAGGGTATGCTGAATCCCCTCAGTGCACTGTAACAAATGGACTGAAGCCATTCCCCAGTCATCCTTCAGAAAAGTTGAATTGCCGTAAGCTCCATCCAACTGTTTCTGTCCATAGGGAGAAGGTGGAAGTTGTTTTTTTGGTTGTTGTTGTTTGTTTCTTTCGTTTTGTTTTTTCATCCACTTGCTCTTTGCTGAGTCAGGGGAAGGGCTGTGGCAACTCCCCGACCGAACTCTGTCTCTGTTCTCCTGACCTCCCTGGTGGCTAGATTATGCCAGGTTTCATCACGGCCTCAGGACAGACCCTCTTCCCTCCCTTTGGACAGCCCCCAGAAAAGTTGGGGCACTGGACTTGAGGACTCTTTCCCTTCCCAAGAAGAAGCTGGAGGTGGAGGGTTTATCCTGTGTTGGGGGTAGGTGTTCTGGTGGGTGTAGGGGTTTGGGCATCCCAAATCTCCCTACCAGTTTTGATGAGTCTGATTCTGTATTTATCTAGCCTTCAGGTGCCTTTCAGTTACTTTCTAGATTTCTTGCCATAGGGAATTTTTGTTTGAATTTTTTGCTGAATTTATGTGTTTGTGGGGTGAAGGAGAGTCCAGGGTTTCCTACTCTCTCATCTTGCTGATGTTACTTCTCCCAAGGTACTGATTTTTAACTTTTAATTGATACTTGAAGTACAAACAACTGATGTCTAACAGTTTTAATGTATTTGGAATATTGCTAGCTTCTTGGAAACATTTGTATTTTGCTTTTAGGGATGAAAAAAATGTTTTAAGGGAATGGTGTATGTAACACTATGTTCCAAAGGCTAAAGTAAAAGAAGCTAGCTATAAAAACTGTATTCTAGTTGGTAAATTTATTTACTGTAGGAAAATACTTAGCAGTTCCAAACTACTCTAGTATACAGTAGAATTTAACAAAGAACTAAATTAATTGAATGAGATGATGACTAGAAAAAAGTTAAAAGTAAGGGAGAAGGCTAGAACTAACCACATTGTGCTTCATTGCACTCCTGTGTTCCTGTCTACATATATATACATATGTGTATACAGAAAATATAGACATAACATGTTTATTCATATATAGGTTAGTATAGGTATGTATGTTACCTACTGTGTTTGCTGTGAGGATGTAGAAGCAATGATACCCCACTGACAACAAGCATCTTGTTTCCAGATCTTGTTTTTTAAATATTATTTTCTAATAAAAATGGAACAGGTGTCCCTGGAAAAATGGCTGCTTCTAGGACAACAGCAGGAAAAGTATAAGATGATCCTTTGAGGCTTCTTATAGTACTGGAAAGTGATATCCTGTTATTCTAGCACCATTTGATGAAAAGACCATGTGTTCTCCTTTGTATTTCCTTTGCCCCTTCGTTGAATGTCACTTGACTGTATTTATGTGAATGTATATCTGGTGCTTTCTATTCTGTTCTATTGAAAAGAATATTTTCTATTCTTGGTTTAGTACCACATTGTCTTATTATTGTATCTTTATAGTAAGTCTTGGGGTAGCATCAAGTCCTTCAGCTTAGTTCTTCTCCTTCAGTATTGAGTTGACCATTCTGGTCTTTTGCTTGTCCATGTAAACTTTAGAGTCAGCCTGTTGATGTCTCTAAAATAATTTGCTGTGATTTTGATTTTGATTGTATTGAATCTGTAGTTCAAGTTGTGAAGGACTAACATCTTGACAATAGTGGATCTTCCCAACCACGAACTTGGAATATCCCTCCATTTATTTAGTTCTTTTAAAAATCTGTTCATCAGAATTTTGTAGTTTTCCTCATATAGGTTGTATACATATTCTATTAGATTTGTGCCTAAATAAATTTTTTTGGTTGCTAATACAAATGCTATTTTGTTTCTAATTTTGAATTCCACTTGTTCATTGCTGTTGTATGAAAAAGCAATTGATGTGTATATGACCATTGTATTCTGTAACTGTACTAATAATTATTATTTCTGTGTTATTTGTTGTTGGTTCTTTTGGATTTCTATATAGGCAGTCATGTCATATATAAAGAAAGTTGTACTCCCCCCCCCCCCCCAACCTGTGTATCTTTATTTCCTTTTATTGTCTTACTACATTAGTAAGGACTTCCATTGTGACTTTGAGAAAGAGTGTGAGAGGGAGGTGCCTTTACTTTGTTCTGGATTTTAGTAGGAAAGCTTGTAGTTTCTTACCAGTGAGTATGACATTAGTTATAGGTTCTTTGTAGGTATTCTTTGTCAGATTGAAGAAGTTCCCTTAGTCTAGTTTACTGAGTTTTTATCACGAGCGGGTCCTGGATTTTCTCAAGTTCTCTTCCTGAATTTATTGGTACATTCATGTGTTTTTTCTTCTTTAGCCTGTAGATAGGCAATAGATTACATTAAAAAAATAGATTACATTAATTGGTTTTTGCATTTGTTTTGAAAAATACTTAATGTTTATTTCTGAGACACACACACACGCACACACACACACACACACACAGAATCTGTAGCAGGCTCCAGGCTCTGAGCTGTC